ATGGAGGGTAAAAATGTCAAAAAAAATCAGTAAAATTCAAATAATGTGCTTAAATACAAATAAATATAAAAATTAAGGACTTAATTACCCAACATTTTTTCTTGTGTATTTTTTTTACAATTAAATCTAATTTTGTGTACCTCCTTCCAATTTTTCCAACGGAAAACGGTATGGGCTTTAAGCCTCAAATTTTTAGAGGGCCCCATAATTTTAAATAATCACTAGTCCACAAAAAAATTAAATTTATTAAATTTTAAGTGGTACAAGAAAGTCTCAAAAAATTAAATTCAATCAAAATTCTTATTGCAATAATTTGGGCTTATAATTCAATACATAACATTAAAAACTTAGAAATTTTTTTAAAAAAATACTCAAAAATCAACATATATTCAACATATATTTACTCTCACCCTCTCTCTCTCTCTCTCTTTCTCTCACCCCATTATAAAATAAATAAAAGTTGAAATTAAACACTTTCTCTTTCTCTACGGTAAAAACAAAAACAAAAACAAAAGTTGAAATATCTTTCTCCATAACATTAACATATCTTTTTTTTGTCTCTGTCTCACATAGAAAATTAAAAATAAATTATTTTTTTTTAAAATAATACTAAAAATAAAAAGACATTCATTTAATATTTTTGCTTCATGCCTTACATTGACTTGAGCCAATTGCTTAGTTACTACTACGTGGGTGTAAAAATGTAAACTAATAACAAATTAAATAAAATTAAAATAAATATTTATGGAAAAAAAAAAGTGACACCCATAATATATAGTTATGGGGATGAGCACACCAATTCGTGGTTGTAATGGAGTCAAACAATACGTTTTTTCTTTGAACGGTGAAGTCAAATAATAGTTTTTTTTAAAAAGAAATAGCAATAATAGTCGAGAAGCTTGAAAGTTGCAAGTTTTATGCACATAAAGTCAAGGAGTTTTGGTGGGGAGTGATAAATTTTGACACCACAGAGTAACAAGTCAATTATACCATACAGTAACAAATCAATAATACAACAAAAAAAATTAGTGGGTAAGAATTTACTCATCCTCTGCAAAAACCAAACATACCACGTTTTTTCATTAGTGTCAAACATAATTTGACATGGCAAATACACTTGGCTAGTTAGTATACGTCGAAGAAAACTTTTGATGTTTTCAATTCTTTATTTTTATTGTTTTTTTTTAATCTAATATTATTATACAAATCAGTGTATAATTTGACATGTTTTAGCTCATTTGCTAGCATTTGGTTTGGTTGGAGCTTTTACTATGGCGAGTGTTTTGGTTGAGTTGAGCTAGAAGCCAGCATAATTAAGGAGTTCTTATTTGTCTATTATGTGTTAAACTTGAACAGAACTCAATTAATAAACAAGTTGAATAAGTTTTTCGATCATTTTTACATAATTATTTGAACAATTCGTGCTATAGATCGGTAGACTAGTATTTGACACGAACATAAAATTAAATTTTTGAACATGGTAATACAACTTCAATAATATTTCTCGTAAAAGCCCCCAAACTGGCATGATAAGATAGATGCTTTAAAATATTACACAATATAAATCTCTNATAATACCACTTCAATAATATTTCTCGTAAAAGCCCCCAAACTGGCATGATAAGATAGATGCTTTAAAATATTACACAATATAAATCCCTAATGTTAAAAATTATTATATTTCCCTGATCATTAAAGTTGTTGGGATAGAGCATACCTTACTTTAGAAGTTGCAGCTTATATAAAATTGATACCAAGAACATTGTGGGGGCACCAAGAAATTGAGTGATCAGTATAGTGCAAGGAATTTATATTTACCAAAAACCAATCTTATATGTACAAAGAGCTATTGTACAACACTGTGATTTTTATGTTGAAACACCAACAAATACCAATATAAAGCCAAAAAAAAACCTATAAAACACGCGAGGTTGTATGGTTGAGCTTAAACGCTTACGTACACAAACGAATGACAATACAAAAGTTTTGTATTTAATATACAACGATCGTATTAGCCTTCAGAAAACAATCAAAAAAATATAATTGAGCTTGCTTAATTTGGCTGTAAAATTCATCCAATAATACCATATATCAATGATCATGTTAGAAAGTTAAAAAAAATATCGAATTAATTAACGAGGTAGTCACACTTTATATTTAAATATAAGAAAAAATAAATTCATATTCAATTGACTTGTGTCAACTTTTTCATAATAACAATAAAACTCACTAAGAACTCCCGATCTCGAATATATTAGTTTCACACTTTTTTCTTTTAGTTTGTTTTCTAATGAATGGGATACAAAGAACATATAAGTAGTAATTGATACAAATTATAAATTTAAAAATTTTGAATTTGAATTTTGACAACTCTTTATGATCAGATATCATAATAATTTATTCTTCGTAAATATCCTAATTTTATCGTAATTGACCTGCCTTTATTTAGACTGAAAAAAAGATTAATCAAGATGCGTATTAATTGATCCAGACAAACTTTATCCGTTGAACACTGACTTTTAGAATTGGGTTTTAATTATCGTTTTCACAAGAAAAGCATTGTATTCTATTCAACGTTCCAACAAAACTCATTACAAGCTACGCAATGTAATACCCCCGAATTTCAATTTATTCTCTTTAATCTTTATAGAATTATCCGAATATGCGATATATTAAAACCCGATTGTAATCACGAGAAAAAGCGAGACGATACATACCGAATACGATACGATAAATTGTTGTGAAACTTTCGAGTGTCGCATTTGATAAGACCGATCAGGCTTGAATCCAGCTGGCACCAAACGGTGCACTAGATCCGAACCTTCTTGGGGGAGGGGCCCCACTTCACGTGCCCACACGCTTTCACCGTTTCCAGGAGACCATATGCGACCACGTGGCAAGGGACCTCCTCCATCATACGCGTGTAGTGATAATCGAACGGCTCAGTTTTTGGGGGACCCAGAAACCAGGTGAATCCTCTCTCAAAACCTCTCGTAAAGAGACAAATTCATCTTCCCGAAATACCTCCATCCTCTTTTATCTTTTTGGAAAATTACATATATAGCCCTGCCTAGTGCACCTCCCTTTCTCCCCTCTCCCTTTTTCTTTTTTTTTTTTTAAAAGTTTGTTTTTGGTTTATTTTTATTAAAAAAAATTATAAATTTTGTACGATGTAGATGAGAAGATAATCCGTCACAACTAAAAGATTATCAAATCAAAATTAGGGTTGAAATGAGATAACCACAGAAATTATCAAGTTTTACAGTTAATTGGATAGAAAAGTTAGTTGGTTGATCTTCAAACAGTTGCGAGTGAAATCTAACCTACCCAACCCGGATAAGAGCTACCTTAGGTATCTCAATTCTCAAATTTGGATTTTTAAACAGTATCTCTGCTCAATATACATTTTAAAGGACATGTTCTAATCCAATTCAAGTCATAAAATTTTTAAAAAATGGTCGACGCAAGTTTAAACATTCTGTAACAACACATTAATAAAAAATTTTAGATATGCGCGTCGTGTTAACCTTTTCAATGAAATTCACTCATCTAATAATCCCTATTCATAAATATTGGGTGTAATGATTGTACCATATTAATATTATTATTATTATTATTATTATTATTATTATTGTTTGTTTTAAATGTCACTATTATTATATGATGTAACCGTTCAATAAAAAATATATAAAATGAACTCTATTATCTTACATAGAGGTAGTTATATATTCACCAATAAATCTTTGGTCTAATTGTACTCCTTATCTTGAGAAGACTTTACTTTATTGAAATCAAAGGTTCGAGTCTCCTTTCCCTTCCCCCTCGCCCTCTCCCTCCCAAAAAAAAATATATATATTTACAAAAAAAAAAAAGTTACATATTTCATAAATGTGTAGTTGATTAATTTTGTGAGACTCATTTACTTATTTGTTCAAATAAACAATTACGCTACATTATAAGTAGGGGTGTCAATCGTGTCGTGTCGTATCAGTTTCGTGTCGTGTTATTTTTATGCCGTATCACTTTCGGTACGTGTCGGATTCGTGTTAATAAAAAATTATTTAATTTGACTACAACTAATATAATATTATTTAAAAAATTATAAAAAAAAAATTCTATCTACAATACTTATTAAATAATTATTTTCTATCTACTGTACTCATTAATCGTGTTATTAGTGTCAAACTTTAATTTGACTAATTTTTTACTCGTATCAATTAATCATGTTATTTTCGAATTTATGTCGAGTTCAATTTGAATCAGATTCGTGTTCAAGTTAAAAATTGACACCCCTAATTATAAGTGCAGTCCAATAGATCTCAAATTATATCCCNGTGTTATTTTCGAATTTATGTCGAGTTCAATTTGAATCGGATTCGTGTTCAAATTAAAAATTGACACCCCTAATTATAAGTGCAGTCCAATAGATCTCAAATTATATCCCAAATTAATATAAATTTTTGGATCAATAGGTGTCGTTAATCTTTTTAATTGGACCCATTTATGGAAGTGTCATACTAATTTACCATTCTATAGTAACTTAACCTGAATGATTGGTCATGGGCAAAGTGGGCCCATGATTGGATAAATGATCGGGGGCATTATAGTAATTTAACAAAAACGAAGTTNTTTTTTAATTGGACCCATTTATGGAAGTGTCATACTAATTTACCATTCTATAGTTACTTAACCTGAATGATTGGTCAGGGGCAAAGTGGGCCCATGATTGGATAAATGATCGGGGGCATTATAGTAATTTAACAAAAACGAAGTTGCAGAGAAAATAAAGAAAAGAGAAAAGAGATTAGACAGTTGAAAAGATGGGCTTTGGGAGGAGAGAGAGAGAACCTTATCCATTAGAAAAGCTTTATAAAAGCAGATCAAAACCTTCGTGCATATGACCAAAACAGAGAGGCAATTCGGGGGGGAGAGGGAGATGTATAGACGCATACGTACACAGAACTNATGCAAATGACCAAACCAGAGAGGCAATTCGGGGGGGAGAGGGAGATGTATAGACGCATACGTACACAGAACTGAGCAACGATCAACCTTGAATTAGCCTTCAATGGCGGCTTCAAAGACCTACAACACGAGAACAAACTACCGATCCCTGTCGAGCGACCGAGACGCTCGAATGGCGTCGGAATCGTCCGAGTTCGAGTTTGACGAGTCGGATGTCTGGAACACGGCTAGGTCCGCTACGCCGGACTTTCGTAACCAGGCGACGAATGCTAGGCTCTCGAAGAAAACGTCGGCGAGAAGAGTTGACTCTGTTGAACGTGCAAGCGCCGGTATGACTCCGGCGTCTTTTCCGGTGAACATACCGGACTGGTCGAAGATACTGAAGGAGGACTGTAGTGACAACCAGAGGAGAGAGAATGACGATAACTTCGGTGAGGAGGATGGTGAGGACGGGGAGAATCGGATTCCGCCGCACGAGTTTTTGGCGAGGCAGTTTGCCAGGACGAGGATCGCCTCGTACTCGTTGCATGAAGGGATTGGGAGGACTCTCAAAGGAAGGGATTTGAGTAGGGTGAGAAATGCAATTTGGGAGAAAATTGGGTTCCAAGATTAACAAAAAACTGAGAGAAAATCCATTATTACTAATCATATGCAGTGAGTGACTCTTTTTTTTTTTTTTTTTAACAGTTTTTCAAAGTTTTCCTTGTTTTATTTTAATTTTTTTCCAGTTTTGTTTGCCTCTTTGTTAATCGTAACTTCTTGTGACGAATCGGTTTATTAATGCAAGTAATGATACAGAAATTTTGGATTGTATTATGATTTTCATTTCTGTGTCTATGCACTGGTGTTTTGTGAGTTCTTTGTTTATTAATTATTATTATTTATATATTTTGGAAGTCTGAAAGGGTAATAGGGCCTCCCAAGGAAAAAAAAATATTATTTTTTTTGAGATTAACGTTGCTTCGATTGTTCAAACTTGTTACCATCCTCCTTTAATAGTGTGGGGGAAAAAAGAAGTCTGATTGCTTCTTCCATGGTTCAAATGGGAAGAGCGGTTTAGGAATCTGGGTGGGTTTGGATGAATGATTGGTAGGGTTAGACTTTAATGTGGCGGGGTTGATAAGAAAAAGCAGGGTCTATACTCAAAATCAGTCATGACCATTGAAAAGAGCTCTCTGGTTCCAAATGCAACTTTATCCTAATATTCTCTTTTGGCTTGTAATTTGAAATCTTAAATGGGATTAAATCGTTTACGGCAAGCCTCCGAATAATCTTTTAGATAAAATTAAGTGTTATATAAACACATAAATTAATATTGAATTTATGTAATTTTTTAATTTTGATTGACCGTCCCTAAAAAATATATTTTCATCTTAAACCATGCATTTAGTAATGGGTCTTGCTATTTGGTTTTTTTTTTTTGTTTAATAATTACATGTGTTTAGGCCACTTTATGCATATTTTAATTGATCTTATCCTTGGTCCAATTAAAAAAAAGTCATTTATGCTGAAATTAAGGGATATACTAATATTTATGTTTCTCATAATTTGACTTAATATAATAACAAATATTCGAACTCAAGACATTTAAATTTATAGTTCATCTCTAATAACACACTCGAACAACCATTTAATGTTGTCCAACTTCCCACTCTACCTACAAGCGTTGACTTTGAATTGTGTAATTAATGGGTTGGGTTATGTTGGATTCAAATCACATTATTGTTTATATATAAGTTCATTTCTAATTGAGATCTAAAACCTTTACGTGAATTTGAGTTTAAAAAAATATAAAAATCTTAATTTGATATGGACTTTTCTAATGAAGAAATCCAAATTTAAGAGAGCAGAAACTTTTTTTTTAAAGAAGAACAAACTCAAATTTAAAATATGATAATTAGATCTTTAAATAAGGATATAATTTTATCATTGGTGGAAAAAGTAAGGATTTGAATCTCCCTCAATTTTAATTTAAAAATAAATTTTCTTTCATTTAGTATAAGTATGAGTATAGTATTGAAAAAATATTTTAAGAGTTTTTTTATCTTTTTTTTTAAAAAAAAAAGGGGTACAAAAAAAAGTGTATCAATGTTTTAATTAGTCTAACCGTTCAACTGGGTCAGTTCTGTGTCAGCAATGCCTAAGAATCACCAAAACTAATTTTGAATGCATAAACCCAATTCCAGTACTCTGATCAATTTCAAAAAAAAAATTAGGGCCTAATTTAAAATTTCTGATAAATTTAACATTATTTAAAACTTGCTCCCATTGAAATTTTTTAANCAATTTCAAAAAAAAAATTAGGCCCTAATTTAAAATTTCTGATAAATTTAACATTATTTAAAACTTGCTCCCATTGAAATTTTTTAAATAATTAATCTGTTGTATTTAAAATTGTATTGTTATATTTTGAAATTACTTGTTATGTTTTGGATGAATGTAGCTCGGTTGATTCTACTTAAACAATTTGCTTGTCTTAGATTAAATTATTGTTATATCTAGGTTTGTTTTAATGGGCCTATGTGATAGATTTAATTCTTATTAAATTTGCTATGATTATTCTGAATATTTATAGTCCTTGACAACCCAATGTTGAAATTTTTAGTGTGAGTCGTACTAAACAAATCAATTGTTAAATAAGTCGTGGATAAATTCGTTAATATTAGAAAAAAATAATGTTAGCATTTTTATTTTATCATGTCATTACTAAATTTTAATTTGTTCCCGTGACAAAGAAATTAGGGCTCCACCCCCGGGTCAGCCATCTTTGTTCCTCTAAACTAGCTCTATCTTAGGATATGTTCTACCTTAATTCAATTCACAGTAATTTCAATTCACAGTAACAACTGTTGAACTTAAAAGAGTATCGAGTGTGTCCATAGATTAAATTTTTGTATCCATATCTGATTCTAGTGATGACTTCAAATCTTGTTTAAATCATTATTTTAATGTGTTTGTACTAAATCATAGTCATCACTCCAAATCTTGTCTAAATCCTTATATTAATGGGTTATTATACTATACTAAATCAGGATTTTGATTAATCAGACGGGCATATCTCTATATTTTATTTAAATGTGGTTGTCGTGAACAACTTCCAAATCTCAATCCCTAATTATTTTTAGTTTTTTTTTTTTTGCAAGTTTAAAAAATGCTTAGGAGGTTTGGAATTGTCACTAATGTTAGATAGAATCAAGCCTTTGAAACCCTTTGAGATTATCAATTTTTTATTTTAAATGATGTGGCACAGTTTTTCACCGTCAGATAAGCAGGTCTCATTAATAATATTCAGATTGTGTCACATTATTTGGAATGTATGATTACAATATGATTGTACTTTAAACTAAGTGATGATGTAATACCAAGTTTGAATTAGGTTATACCGAATTGATATTAATTTCTTATTAATCCCGACCTGACTTACTATTGTTATCTAATATTAAAAATACCATAACGTTATTATCTTTATAAACCTAGATCCACGCCTTTATATAAAATCTACACATTATGCAAACAATTGTCCTCAATATTTGTTTGTCATTTTTAATTTAATACCATACACTATTACTACTTAATCCAAACTTGAATTTGGTATTATAATTATAAATTTATACCTTATTCAAACCTTAATCTAACTTGTTACACAAAGGATAGGATCAAATAATAGTCATGTTAATATTATTTGTATGAATCGGATGAAAATCAATTAGTCATAACTGGCCTGTGTGTGAGCATGCTCGGGTATATCAATTCAGTGCTCTTCCTTTACGTATGAATGGACCTAGAGTCATGTTGGACTGTGTTATTCAAACGAGTTCCCAACTAGTAAAAGTTAACACATTGGATAATCCACCAACTAATAGAGATTAGTTGGTGGATAAAATAAGTATCCTCCTATAATAATCTAGTCCAGTAGTGATTGATATCAATCAAAAAGAAAAGAAAAGAAAAGAAAAGAAAAGAAAAGAAAAATGCTGTTTTGTGATATTGTTCTGTACTTAATTGGAGTCCAGACAGAGATGTTAATTTTCTAAGATAGGATGAGAGTTGGCCATCTAAATTCCTCATAACCGTTTTCTTTCAAAGGCAACTATCTTTTATTATGGATCCTTTCATTCATTTGAATTGAGTAATTATTGAATCTAAAACTCATCAAATTTGTTGATGTAATCATTTGTTAAGTGATAAAACCTTACAACTTTAAACGTGGTTCACTGGTTGAGTCTGATGTTTGGTAACCTTGATATTTCTTATTCCTTTATAGACATGCTCAAACCTAACTCAAGTTATGGTGACCAACTGCCGACTTTGAGGGAATAATAGGCGTAATCCTAGACACTTTGGTGACTAACTACTGAGCTTAAGAAAATAGTCGGCGTAAATTTAGATACTCTGTAACTAAAAAAAAAAAAAACAAGTGATAGAATCCTAGTAAAAAATTTAATAGTTGTATTCACAATAATTTTATTAGACCATGTTTATAACATCAATTTTTAAAATCCTAATAATATTACTTGATGTTATAATTTATGTGATTCTCTAGCAGAACTCAGGAAGGAAATGGATTAAAGATTTAATAGGGATAATAAAGGGCATTTATTGGGACGTTCAGACAAAGCTACCAGAATCATAGTGGTGAATAGTCAATCACAGAGACAACAACCATCAATAGAAATCGATAGACATGAGATTTATTGCGGTTCAACAGTTCAAAAGCTTGATTAATCCTCTATAATAGAATGTCTAACTCCTAAAGGGGGGGGAGGGGGTTTGCTATTATTTAGGAGGTTTGCTATTATTTAGGGAAGAAGATTACAAAGGTACAAAGAGTCTACTTTCAAATCTTCTATCTTTTAAAAAGTGGGGGATCAGTCCCTATTTATAGTGTGTAAGAGTTTTGTCTAATCAACGTGATCCCTGTGTAGCCGTCATGATCCTTGCGTAGCAGTCATGATCCTTACGTAACAGTCAAGATCCTTGTGTAATCAGTGTGATTCTCTTGAGACTATTATGTCTCATGTATCAAAATATTTAATTGTTAGAGACTACATTTTCTAGGTATGACATGGCCTTTTAAAATATGACAGCTATCAATGTGATCATGTGCACGAGAGTCGCTTTGATGATGATTCCTAATCTGTTCCTATAAGGTGGGAGACCTGAGTTAGGAGTTCCGAGCCAGAAGACCTAAGGTAGAAGACTTGAACTAAGAGATCTGAGCTAAAAGATCCGAGCTAAAAGACTTGAGGAGAAAGGAATTGAGAGCTCAATTCATTCACCCGATCTGCTTTTTTGGCTTAGCTTAACTTTAAAAAAAAATTAGTATCATCATTACTGGTTTGAATTTCATCCTAAATAAACCCATCTCAAAGAAAATAGAAAATGCATAGCATCCGAAACAATAAATCTATATCTGCTTTAAAATATTAAAATACCTGAAAAATATTTTTTTTCAATTTTGTCCTTCAAAAATATAATTATTTAGTCCATATCCTTCATATTTAATGTCAATCAAACCCTAATTCCACTTACTTCATAATCCCAGCTGCCTTTCTCCCACCTTTCATTCTCCGGCCATTTCTCTCTCTCTCTCTCTCTCTCTCTCTCTCTTTCTCTCTCTCTCTCTATCTTAAACAACTCCCACCCATCTCTCATAAACCTAATTGTGTTAATTAGGGAATTACACCTACCGTTATAGTACTTGCCTTAAACTCCAACACCGGCTAGAATTAACGTCACCCCTTCATTTCCCTATTTTTCTCAATTGATTTTCTAAGCCTTCATCTCTCATCTTTTGGCTGTTCAGATTCCAAACATTAATGGTAGCAGCAACGGCCACTTCAGTTACTAATGTATCTCACAAATTGAGACCCAATGGTGTTATTTTCCACTAGTTTCTACATCTTCCTTCTGCTCCCTTGCCCTCTCAAATGCAAACACACTATTGTAGAACTCACAAAGCTTCGTTTCTTCTTCAACAGGCACTTCGTTTCTCTTTTCTTATAGTATTTCTGTTTTTCTATTCCTTTTTGGCTGATGATTGATTGACAAAATCTGGTGAAAATCTGTATGTCCCTTACTAACTAAAGGGCGATTTTGATTTTTGATTTTCTTTTTTTCCGGTAAGTAACTGAAGTAAGAATTTGTTATGAACTATCACACCTGAAGAGCGTCTATAATTTTACAATAAGAAGGGCTTCATTGAAAATTTAAGAAACTAGGAAGGTTGTCAGTCAATATTTTAAGTTTTGCTTGCTTTATGATAGGTTGAAGTTTTACCAAATTATGTCAATTAAATGTTGTTCAAGTCAATTTGATTTATACATTTGGAATTTGTCGATTATGTATGCCATTTGGATTATAGGATTCCAGTGGATAGGACCATGTGATGGGTTAAATTGTTCATATATCGAAGTCTGGTTCAATAGACTTGTGATAATTTTATTTTTTTTAATTCATATCTTTTAAATTTGTTCTATTTATATTGAATATTTGTGATCCTTACAACTCGTATGTTAATGACGAGTGCTAAATTTGAGTCTGAGTAAACAAATTAGTTGTTGAATTTGGTTACTTCTAAATTTTTTAAAAGAAAATTAACATTGAAACAAAAATGTTAGGATTATAATTTTGAGTTATCATTGAATTTTGGGAAAAAAATACCCGGTTCATTTACTTGCTTTCCAAATCCCATTATTTTTTTTCAGTATTCCACAAAGAAGCAGGGTTGTGTTTTAACTGGTATAAGTATGTATGTAATTTATATACATTGGTTCTAAACCATCGGAACACTTGTTGATGCACAAATTGATTTTATACACCACCTGTAAAGTAAGTAATGTAGTAAGTAAATAAAGAGAGTCAACACAAGCAAAACATAATTTAAGTGGTTCGGTCAATGTGATCTACTCCACTATAAAAGGCTAGGATGACCTGGATGTTTTATTACTTTAAAGAGTGTTGGATGTTCAAGTATGAGTAATAGGTGAGATACAAGATGTGAGAGATGCCGACTTACAATTTATAGGCGTCTCTTAACAAATTGAGGCGCCTTATCAGTAACAGAAAGACTGATTTTGTGGAATGAGTGACATCCTCGCAACAGATGAGGTAGTTGAAGAGAGGGCGTGGAGATCTCCTCAAGATCTAGTCCCAAGATAGCATGACAGACCTCCTCACTCTAGGATGGCATGGATGAGGCTCTCTTATGGAGTTGCTGATTACTTGACTTTAAGATGATGTGACTCTTGAAACTTTGGTGAGTCTAATTAAATCTGGGTCTCTTCCGAGCCAAATCCATTGAGGATTGTTTGGGCCGGGCCTATTATCTGAGTTGGCCTGGTTTGGGTTGGAACTTTTATCTGAGTTGGGCCTTGGGCCGGGCCCATCAACACTGATAGCTTGGGATACTGCTAAAAATTAATTTAGTGAATATGTTGCTTTTTTGGCATGTTTCCATCAATCGTTGGAGAATGAAAAACCATTTTTTTGTATTTACAAACTACCACGTGTGTGTGGTAGTGGAGGAAGAAGGTAATGATGGTGGAGGTATAAGATACCGAATGAATCATTTGATGCCAGAGTTGTCAATGAAGTTTGTATATTTTGAATTGACTCGTTTAAATCGGTGTTTTATGATAATATATTTGTATTTAAATGACTATTATGTCTTTTAATTAATTTAATCCAAACATGAATATAAATATATAGAGGGTATAAATATCATTTGAACGTGAAACATCCAAACCACATATAAAACCCACTCTCCCCATGAGTTTCATGAAACCCATGAGCAAATATTTTATGACCGGGCCGGATTTCAAACTCTAGACTAAATTTATATTTACCAGACATGAGTTTAAGGGGGTTTAATCTCTAACCCATATTCTAAAACTCTCTCAAACCCACGTACCATACAACCCCTAGTTTTCGCAATCTCTTTTTGCACCCATTCACTTAAAAAAGGAAGAGGATGTGATTTAGTTGTATGTAATGTAGGTACCTAAACTTGTCTCGGCACAAATGCACTTTGTTTAGCGATAGTGATATTATACATCATGCCTTCTGTAGATGTGGTTAAAACTAAGATAAATAACCTCGAGGTTGCAATTAAAAAAAAAACCACCATATAATTAATCGACACGTACATTATACTGTTTGACCAAATGATTTGTCGCTTACACGGTGAACAAAATTTTAATATTAAATTAATAAAGGTAAAACTAAAAATACCACCTTTTTAATACTATATATTATTTAGTTTCTATTTTTGGCCAAATTTTTGATTACTCAAATATTACCATGATTAATTAAAGAGTAATGCTATTTGGATCTAAAAATCTGACTTAATTTACTGACATAATGATGTAATTTTATAAAAATCATTGAATCAACACCAAGTTCTAATATTTAATAGGTCTACAGTCAATACAAAGATCACAGTGAATTAGATTAATAAATTATATTATATCCACTAATTCAATGTGCATGCACCAAATATCAACAAAAGAGTAAATTTTTTGTTTGACTATAATAATTTTAATAAAATAATTAATACAAATATTATCCTTTTTAAGCTATAATAACAACATTGATGGCATTTATAATTGTGGTTGTCATGTAGGCTATGAAATTATTGACTGTTGGGTTACACATTCAAAATAGAGCAATGTTAAATGAACTTAAAAAATAGACTTAAAAATTAGACTTGATAATCTCAACCATTGAATTCACTGTGAGTCTCAGCATTTATTGGGTCTCACTACCTATTCAATAATTAAAATTATCAAGTCTAATTTTTAAATCCATCTAACATTACTCTTCAAAATATCATCTACAATTTATTATCAAGACATACGTCTTCCTTATTATTTAAAAAGCAAAAGCCCTTGCGTATCCTATTTATCTTTGATTAAAAGTTTAATATCAATCTTAAAGCTAAAGCTAATAATATCATTCAACCATAATAAATTTTTATTTAATGGTAGAATCTTTCGTATTCCTGGACCTATTATAAAAAATAAGAAATATTTCATTGTATTAGTTACGAAGAAGAAAAGACTCATATACTCATTCATGCATTAGACCCTACTGATTTACTAATTCTATTAATAAATTTTCGGTGTATGTAATGAAGTGGATCTTGATTCAGTTCATCTCTTCCGATTAAATTTCTTCTTTCTTGGTTGCTATCTTATTTGATTTGTCCTTTTTTTTTTTGGTTTTAGCAGCGGTGACGACACTAGACATGGATAACTCCGAATAGAGCATCACATATCAACGTGTGATTTGACTTGACTAATAGACAAGGTTGGAAAAGCTAGCATCGTTGAAACACAGTAAAATCTGACATGGCTTCATTTGGCTTCCATGTGCCCTTTAAAGTTCTTTCCGATGAAACTTTTGTATATTACTACTCCAACACTGCTCTTTCCAATAACTTACTATTGTTGTTCATTTCTCCGTATTGCAGATAAAGAAAAGACTTTGATCAATCAAGGTTTGGAACTTTCGAATGTTTTCAGAAGTCATTGGCCAATCATATATAGAGAAACACGAAATCTAATCAAGCTTTTCCGACGACAATGGCCCCTTCGATTTCTTTTCTTTTCTTTTCTTTTTCTACCAATCAAGCACAACGAATATCTGGTATTCTTCACCTGAAATTGCTGCTTCCATGACCATCTAATTCTTAGCCACATGCGTGGCATTTGAGTCTCTTACATTCCAAAAAACAATCTCCGGCACACACGACCCATAACGTCTCTCTCTAAATTTCCTTGTTATCGCCTGGTCATCTGTCTCCCAATCATTTGCGGAGGCCTGATCGAACTCCATGTCGCTGAACACAAAAACCCTCTTGATCATTTGCTCCTCCTTCAAGTTCCCATTCACAACCACTTGTAAAATCAAGTCAATTACCCTCTTGAAAATCTGTGTTTATCACCCAGTCCATGTGTTCGACGAATTGCGTCTTTGAGCGTAAATCGTCCTGAGCTCTGGGTTTGGGCTAAATGTAATAAGCTTCCCTTTCCATGGCTCGTCACTCAATTCGGAGACTAATATTCCAAGAGCCACAGACACCTCCATTGGAGTACCACACATAGATCCCGAAACATCGCAAATTGCAAGACAATTCTTCAACTTCCCTTTCTTGGCCAAGTCACTCACCATTCTCTTCCACTGAAGCTCGGCCACTTCGTTTCCATTGTCATCATGCAATATTAAGGCTATAATCAGATGCGACAACAAAGCACCCGCCGCAACCTTCGCCTTCCCGGCCCGCACTGATTCAAGGTAGTCCTCAAATCTCTCTCTCTCACGAGTCAGAAATTTGGCACTGTACATTTGCATAGCAACCGAGGCAACTCGGTTGTATGATGCCGAACACAATACGCATAACGAGTGTAAGGGGTAGAACCCTCTACTAAGGATTNTCGTGAGCAAATACTTTCCTTGCAATGCTTTCTCAGGTAAGGGTTGATCGGTCGAAGGAAGAGTCCGGTGAAGGACACCATTTCGTAGCAAGGCTAATATTCTTCAATGACCCAGAATCCAAGTTCTGAATATCGGTGTTGAGAAAATCCGCAAAAAGGTCTGAAACACGATCATGCAAGAACTTGTAACCTGGGTCTCGATGGTATCGTTCGACTGCCTTGTTCGCCATGTCAATCTTCTTCTCTTTCCTCTCCTTCCTCGATAACGGACTTCTTTCCTTAACCCACCCTTGTCGCCTCCAAAACATGCCTGCTCTAGGAGGTTTCATTTCTTCCCTCTCTTACTTCGTTATTGTTCGAACATCGCGTCCTTCGACAAGCTGGGAAAGAATCTCCATCAAGTCTTTGAAGTACCCAAAAACGACCAATGAATCCACGTTGCATGCTAGGGTTTTGGGATGGTGTTTGTGAAGCCAAAGGGCAGCGGTGTAATACCCTCCTCTGTCAGATTTTTCGGTGCCTCTAACCCCAGGGAGGTTACATACAAATTTGAGGGTGGTAAGCGGGTTATGGTCCCTTGAAAATTGGAGGCGTTGTGTTAGGGTTGTGTTAGGGTTACCGCGGGGGAGAGTGTCAGGGACGACATGTAAGAAGAAGTCTAGGGTTGCCCTGTGGAGTGGAGAGGAAGAGCAATGCTATTAGGACATAATTTATGGATATAATTTAAAGATATAATTAGTTGTCACCAATAAAATGATGATGAATTCATTTAATGTTACAATGAGACCCATTTTTAAATATATTTTACTATTATTTCATTGGTGACAACTCATTATGTCTCCAAATTATGCCCATAAATTATATTTCAATAGCATTAGTGGGAGAGGAATGTTGGTGAGCAATTTTCGGTGTAGCCCATTGGTGGGTTTTTATGGAGAAAGGTGTTGTTGAAGTTTGCTACCATTAGATCCATGAATTTGTCAGTGGTGGTGGTCGTGGTGTTGGAGGTATTGGAAGGGGGCTTTTTATTCATAAAGCTCCGGTGGGCCGAGGAGGGTGGAGGATGGAGCCATTGCAAAAGGAAGAATTGAAAGGATTCGAGGAGCATGAGGTAAAAGTCTCATCTATGGTTAGGTCCGGAGAGAGTAATAAACACTTTTGACCGTAAAGTTCAATCCAATTGATCCCATCTTCTATCAAAATTTTGTTACCATAATGAAAATGGCCCCTGAAAAAATTAGCATATCAATAATGATGTGGTATTACTATTGCATTAGATATTAGTATTAATTGAGATACAAAACAAAAAAAAATATTAATTAAGAAAAATTTAGACCGTCTAATTATTTTGAGGATCAATGTTATGGGTATAAAAAATTCGCATAAAATTTGTGCACTAAATGGATGTGAGTTGATGGATGACAGTGAGGCCCACTAATCCGACGGCCCACATCGGATTTGATACAAAATTTTGGTGTATATAATATTTCCCTGTTTCGAGAGAAATAGTTAACTGGTGGTTCTATTCAATGTTTGGGCATAGTAGTAATTTTATTTCTGAGAAAGACTATTCAACCCTACTTTTTGGTTTAAGGCACGTTAGGGAAGAAGACAGATCTCCTATTTTACCGGCAGAGTCACAAATTACAACCAAACAAGGCCGTAGTTGTTAAGCCCAAACCTAGGCCCACAATTTGATCACTCTTGATGTCAGCACTTTCTGGACCAACTCTACGGAAGCCCAAGATCGAACTGTCACAACCCTATAAAAATAGAACGCAAAATTATGAGGAATATCTTTTAAACTACCTGATTATGAGAAAATATCTGGACTAAAATTTTTTGTAGATAAATATTTTTGGATGGGACTATTTTCACTCCACAAATCTACATTCCCCACCCCATTTAATTTATTATTCTCAAACTACTAAATCTACTCTTTATATACTCACCCCATTGGTAACTAACTAAGTCCACCACGTGTTATATACACCTCATTAATAGTTAAATTTACTTATTTTATGTACACCTTTTTAATGAAATAAGTCATCATAAAAAAAATAATGAAAGAAGACAATTAGTTTGAATGCTTAAATATATTTATGAAACAAGACAAATAATTGAAACAAAAAAAAAGCAAGAAAAAAAATGAAACAAGTAACAAAAATCAAGCATGTTTAAACAAGANAAAATAATTGAAACAAAAAAAAAAACAAGAAAAAAAATGAAACAAGTAACAAAAATCAAGCATGTTTAAACAAGAAAAAAGAAAGAATGAAACAAGAAAAAAAAATTGAAAGAAATAATCAAACCGAAACAAGAAAAAATAAAGAATGCAATAACGAAAAAAACAAAAAGAAATAAGCAAACTGAAACAAAAAGGAAAAAAATCAAACAAAGATTAAAGGAACAAACAAAATTACAAGACGCAAAATCGAAAAAAAAAAGCACCAAGCACAGATACAAAATTGAACAAGAAAAAAAATAACAATCATAGACGTAAAACCTTAATAAGATAAAAAAAAACAAATAATATGAAATTATACATATATATACACAAATGTAACTTCTAAATAAAAAATTATTAAACTTAACAAAGATATCAAAATATACCGAAAATAAAAAAAATTCATATAACAAACATGAAATCAAACATAAAATTAAATTGAGAAATAATATTAACATGTGTCTCACTAAAAAAAAACATATTGAAAAAGTATTTTTGTGAATGCGTGATAAGAGATAAATAATAAAACTCTAATTATGACAAAATTNTAGACGTAAAACCTTAATAAGATAAAAAAAAAAACAAATAATATGAAATTATACATATATATACACAAATGTAACTTCTAAATAAAAAATTATTAAACTTGACAAAGATATCAAAATATACCGAAAATAAAAAAAATTCATATAACAAACATGAAATCAAACATAAAATTAAATTGAGAAATAATATTAACATGTGTCTCACTAAAAAAAAACATATTGAAAAAGTATTTTTGTGAATGCGTGATAAGAGATAAATAATAAAACTCTAATTATGACAAAATGTAAAATAAGTTTACTTATGAAAAGAGGTGCATGTGGCATAAGGTGAAGTTAGTTACTAATGAGGTATGTACAGAAAGGGTGGAGTTAGTAGTTTGATAATGAAAAATTAAATAGGGGTGAGAATAGTCACACTCAAGTATTTCTTACTTAAAATGTATTGTATTTAAGTACATATTGACAGATTTTAAGATTTTTCTGTGACTANACATATTGAAAAAGTATTTTTGTGAATGCGTGATAAGAGATAAATAATAAAACTCTAATTATGACAAAATTTAAAATAGGTTTACTTATGAAAAGAGGTGCATGTGGCATAAGGTGAAGTTAGTTACTAATGAGGTATATACAGAAAGGGTGGAGTTAGTAGTTTGATAATGAAAAATTAAATAGGGGTGAGAATAGCCACACTCAAGTATTTCTTACTTAAAATGTATTGTATTTAAGTACATATTGACAGATTTTAAGATTTTTCTGTGACTAAAATACCATTTTTCATATTTATTGGGTTGTTCAAATTGACAATCCCATTTTTTATGAGATTTGATTTATTATATTAAGAGTTTCTTATTTTAATATATCAGCATATTTGAATCGAAAACTTAAATCATACCAAACTGAAGTTAAAACACCTGTAGAATTAGAAACAGACGAAAAACCAAGAAAGCTCACTTGATCTGTCAAGGGCAGAGAACCCTCCAATGATTATCCTATAAGGGGGGTGTAGCAAAGAAGGGAGAAATTCCAACTAACTACCTACTAATTCCACCTAGGCGGGTTTGAGAGCTCTTTATAAGCCTAGAAGATATTGCTTTCATAGTCTTGTTACTACATATAAATGCCCTACGGAAAGAGACTTCTTCCAGGTATAGTATCTATGGGATTTANGAACACCTGTAGAATTAGAAATAGAAGAAAAACCAAGAAAGCTCACTTGATCTGTCAAGGGCCGAGAACCCTCCAATGATTATCCTATTGGGGGGGTGTAGCAAAGAAGGGAGAAATTCCGACTAACTACCTACTAATTCCACCTAGGCAGGTTTGAGAGCTCTTTATAAGCCTAGAAGATATTGCTTTCATAGTCTTGTTACTACATATAAATGCCCTACGGAAAGAGACTTCTTCCAGGTATAGTATCTATGGGATTTAAATACATATGAATTTAAATTTTAAATGTAAATTTATATTATTATACTTCAATAGTTGATGAAATCTTTAACTTTTGATTTTCTTCTTCTACGTGAGTGTTTGTTGTTCTTTGTCAACAAAAAATACTTTATTGTTTGATTTTTTTTTCTACATCAACATCTGATGTTCTTCATCTGGTTGAACGTATGTCGTCTACTTCACTTCAAGTTTGAATATATATATTTTCTGTTAATGTAACCAATAACCTTATTTTGAAATTGATAGTGTATGATATCTAGAGCTTGATTTTGCCATTTTTTCTCATGTTTACGTATATGATATGTGTATTCCTGTAATGTTACTATAACTATCTACATTTTTCTCTTGANAAATCTTTAACTTTTGATTTTCTTCTTCTACGTGAGTGTTTGTTGTTCTTTGTCAACGAAAAATACTTTATTGTTTGATTTTTTTTTTCTACATCAACGTCTGATGTTCTTCATCTGGTTGAACGTATATCGTCTACTTCACTTCAAGTTTGAATATATATATTTTTTGTTAATGTAACCAATAACCTTATTTTGAAATTGATAGTGTATGATATCTAGAGCTTGATTTTGCCATTTTTTCTCATGTTTATGTATATGATATGTGTATTCCTGTAATGTTACTATAACTATCTACATTTTTCTCTTGAAATATGCTCTTCTTATTATACTTCAGTGCAAATCAACTCATTTTTCAATGTCACAATGTGACAATCGTAGCATTTAGCCTAGTATATGAATTAGGAAATATAATTGAACGTTTATCTGTCAGAATGTAACAAATACAGTATTGTCTATTACATTTTTACATTGCGATAAAATACTTCCATTCCTTAATAGAACTGTGTTGTTACAAAGGCGAAAAAAAATTTTGTCCTCTTCATTTTTTATTGTTTGTATTTTTGATTTAGTTGAAATCTCATAAATTTTATGGCTCTTTTTGTGGTAGTTTTTGTTTAAATTTCAAAACCCATGTTTTTAGTGATACATCATTTATCGGANGATTTTTTTGTCCTCTTCATTTTTTATTGTTTGTATTTTTGATTTAGTTGAAATCTCATAAANAAAAATTTTGTCCTCTTCATTTTTTATTGTTTGTATTTTTGATTTAGTTGAAATCTCATAAATTTTATGGCTCTTTTTGTGGTAGTTTTTGTTTAAATTTCAAAACCCATGTTTTTAGTGATACATCATTTATCGGATTTAATGGTTTGGTGCATCTCCTGTTGTTTCCAAATAGAATTAGTTGTCCATGTTTTGCCGAATTTTAAGGAATTAGTTGCCCATGTTTTTAATGATATATTAGTTGTCGGCTAGTATTATTTTCTGGGTATTCTTGCCACTTATAAAAAAAAGGGACTTATGTACAATTTTTTTTTTTTTTACTTGGCACTTTTACACAAGTAAGGGCTATATTAGGTACCCATTTTTAAAAATCCAAAATAGAATCCATTCCACACTTCTAGACCAACTGTGGTCCCAACTCTAGGTAAGCCCAAGATCCAGTCGGTCCGGCTCAACTCAAACCAAAATCCATACCGCAGGCCCCAGCTTCATTAACCATTGCACGCGACCCCAAGCAAACCACCGGTCAGACCATGTGTTTCACATGGACGAAATCCAGACCAAGGACGACTGGTAGAGCTTAGCTTCTCTCGCTCTCTCTGACACACGCAGAGTTCAACAATACCTAGTTCTTGTCGACGAACCCAAATCGAATCGTGTGATCGTAGCACTTTTGTTTTCAATCTCAGTCTCACCAATGCAGGCGAATTCCAACTCTTCGTCGTCCTTAGGCGAAGACCAAAACCCTAACCCTAACCCTGACCCTAACTCAATCGATCGGTCCCTCGACGCAATCGAAGACCGGTTAGCGTCAATCTCACTGGCCCAATCCGAAACCGCGTCGTCCAATGAAGAACCATTAAAGGAGGTCGCAAATGGATCAATGAACGATAACAATCACGAGGAGAGCACGGTAGCTAAGATGGAAGAGCAGAGTCGCAGCAAGTTAGTGACGGAATCGTCCTTTGTTTTTGAGGAGGTTAAGGAGAGCTCGTCGACGGGTGGTTTTACGTGGAGGAATAATTCGGAGCTGGAAGTGGAAGAAAATGGGTCGTCGAGCCCTAGTAGTAGTGGGTATGCTGGTGGGAGAGGTAGTAGTGGTGGCACTAGTGCATCTGGGATTGAGGAGGTTGGTGAGGATGATGGTATTCGTGGTGTTGGAAACGATGATTCTATTAACGGAGTATCAGACTTGCAGGAGAACTCATGGGTGCCGGGGAAGCGACATGTCGATGAGGTGAGTCGAGATATGTTACACTGTAATTGAACTTGAGTTTCAATATTTTGAAGAGGAACAAGTATGCAGTATCATCTCCTCAATTGTTATGGGGGCCATTGTTAAACAGATTGTGATTTGCTGGACATTACACATAGATGTTGTTTTAGCTTGATTATTTTGAAGAACCAGTGTCACCATATTATGCATTTACAGGACATTTGAGTTTTAATTGCATTATTATACGTGATTTATTGATGCTTTATGATGTTTGACCTTAAACTTCTTATTTACCCCACTTGTGGAGTCATACTGTTGTCCTAACATAGTGGGGTTACCATCCTGGTGTAAGGGAAACCGAAGATAGGAGCATACTTATGTGTGTGGTGAAGCACCCAATCGACAAATGAACCCAGGTTTAACTTTCAGGCCGATTTCCTGCACTTTTCTGCAAGAAAGGTGGCTGAAATATTTTTTTTCCGGTAAATATGGCTGAATAAGCAATTCCTGTAAAGCTGTTCAGTTACTTACGAGCTATGGGATTGAAACTTAAAGCCTGATGAAAGACAGAAAGAAGGGAAATTGAATTATTCAAAGCTTAAATTTAGTCACAATAACTTTCTGTTGATATTGTCTCACAGAAGATATATATATAGTGAGATGGCTTGAGAAACCTTCCCTCTAACTTTCCTAAATTTTAAGAATTTTGAATTATTAAATTCTCTATCCGCTAATCATATTTTATCAAATGCATCCAATAACTACTCTAAATAACTACCCATAAACTCATTCTAACCATCACTTATTTAATTTTTTTTAATCAACAAATTTTGCATTCCAATAATACCTAAAATATTTTTTGCTAACTTATAAAATAATGGGAGGAAGGGAGTAAAGCGTGATGAAGAGGATTTGGAGCATAAAGGATGGATGCACGGGTCAAACTAGTCAATAGATAAAAGAATCAATCACCAAGAAACTCTTTGGTCCCCTAGGAACAACCCATCTAAGCACTTTATAAATCAATAGAAGATACTGCCATAATTAGACCCTATAAATTTGACTCAATCCTGGACTTCCCCATAAAAAAGAAAAAGAAAAAAAGAAGGAAGTTCAAACCAAATCAAATTCCAAAGACATGTAATCCGCCCTTTATGAGCTAAATTTTGCCTTCAATTTTTATTGCATCACATAGGCTGCATGGGTGGCATGTTTCCTTGTGAGCTTTATGTGTGCCTAAATTGCCCTAGCAAAAAAGTAGATTGACTTGTATTTTGGCATGAAATTGGTGTTTTGTATACAGTTGCGTGATATTTAGTTTGATGCTAACAATCATACTGGACACATAATTGGCCATGGATTGTGGATGTTCTTAGGGAGGCCCAGTCTCATTTTGTTAAATCCAAAAATCACAGAATCAGGTTAGGTCTTTTGAAGCTCAGGGAGGTTGAGCATGAGTGTTTAAATGCGTAGGTGTAGGCGTTCAAAGTTCAGATGCAATGTCAATGATTCTGGAATATTATTTGAATGATGTATCTGTCCCTAGAACCACATTTATTGTTGTGATTAATTTCCCTTCCATGATTGAAAATATAAAATCTTGATAAATAAATGATTCCAATAGGGTTTTCGTATATTTAGTAAATTAATAAATGATTTATGAATAAATGGTTCCAACAGGCTTTTCATATTTAGTAAATAATAAATGATTTCAGTGCCCTAGAGCGTGCATTTATGATACTGGCTATGTTGTCTCCTGCTTGATTAATCAATGAAGTGCAGGATGATGCTTCTATTTCTTGGAGGAAAAGGAAGAAGCACTTCTTTATTTTGAGTAACTCTGGCAAACCAATATATTCAAGGTGTGCATCTATGTTCTAAAAGCATTATAGTGCATACAATATCTATTTTTCTTTTCAGCAAAGCAAGATGGTTTGTTTTTTTGTTTAGACTGTTTAGTTGCTGACACCGATTTTGTGTAGTTTTTGTGGGTGATGTTCTCTTTTTTTCTGTTTGTTTTTATTAACATTAAGATATGGAGATGAATACAAGTTAGCAGGATTTTCGGCAACTTTGCAGGCCATCATTTCTTTTGTGGAGAACGGGTACATTGATACTGCCAGCTGTTTAGATGTTCTCTCTCCCTTTTTTCTGAGCTTATTCTTTGGCTTGTATTTACTGTGACGATTACTTGCAAAGGAGTTTTAGTAATGTACTTCATTTATCTCTTTTCAGGGGAGATCGTGTCAAATTGGTGAGGGCAGGGAAACATCAGGTTGGATTACTCCCCACCCTACTCGACTTAGGTTTTTGTTTTTTTAACACTTTTTCTTTCAACTCATTCTTCCTAACAAATTGGAACTTCTTTTTTGCATGCCTCATAAATCAAAATATTGCTATTAGTTGGTATACTTATAACTAGAGCACAACTNGGTTTTTGTTTTTTTAACACTTTTTCTTTCAACTCATTCTTCCTAACAAATTGGAACTTCTTTTTTGCTTGCCTCATAAATCAAAATATTGCTATTAGTTGGTATACTTATAACTAGAGCACAACTAATGTTGGCATCAGTAGTTGTGTAAGGAAAATATAGTTACTACTTACTAGTTATTCCAAAATTTATTTTCTATTATCTGTAAGACATTGAAACTTTACTCAAAAGCTGCCGAATAGATGTCTTATTGAGTCAGATTTCTTGCAACATGCACTAGTTGTGCTTGTGTGTGCATCATGATATCATTCAGACCAGTTTGAGGTGTAACTGATTAAAGTTTATGGAGAGTTGCACTACAAGTCACACCAGATTTTTATGTTGTTCAGCAAATTCATTTGATTCTTGTCATTTAGGCAGGTTGAGTTCAAATGTAGATAATTGCTCTAGTTGCCTTATTAACAGAGTCTGTTATTTGACCAGCTTGTGGGGGATTTAGATAACCTTGTGGTAGTATTCTACTGTCTGACCATGATCATAATTTAGGATGATTGCTTGGTCAGATTGTCTGTGCTTGGGCTATCAAACGTGAAAATGTTGTTCCAAGTCTTATGGCAGCTCCTTCTTTAAGCTGAAGGTTACCTAGTACATCAACTTCCCGCACCTTACGTTAAGGCGATCATCTACTGGAGGATGTGGGCATGTATTAACANATGGTAGTATTCTACTGTCTGACCACGATCATAATTTAGGATGATTGCTTGGTCAGATTGTCTGTGCTTGGGCTATCAAACGTGAAAATGTTGTTCCAAGTCTGATGGCAGCTCCTTCTTTAAGCTGAAGGTTACCTAGTACATCAACTTCCCGCACCTTACGTTAAGGCGATCATCTACTGGAGGATGTGGGCATGTATTAACAAAAATACACTGCAGAGCTGTTCAAGTACTGGATGAGCCCGTCTCTAATAGCCTTCCCATAACATTACTCTGCTTTGTGAATGCTGCTACCAGCTCTTGGTACCTTCCTTGAATTTTTTTGACCAAAGTTGAAAGGATATGCATACTCTTTGAATTAGATATATTGCACAGTTGTATGACACTGCAGCTGAGCATTCATCATTTCTTCACTCATGTCGTCCTGTATAGATAAGGTCACTAGTGTGACTTCCATTGGGGGATCTTNGGATATATTGCACAGTTGTATGACACTGCAGCTGAGCATTCATCATTTCTACACTCATGTCGTCCTGTATAGATAAGGTCACTAGTGTGACTTCCATTGGGGGATCTTATTGTGAAAGGAAATGGTGAACAGCATCTGAGCATGAATCAGGGAATTGGAAGAGGCTGTCAGCATATGTGCATTTAATCAGTCCCATTTTACACAGTAGGCAAGGTTTTTAAAATCGGATCTTACATTGGGCTGGGAACCCTTGTTTTGATTTTCATGCATTTATCAGATAGAATTGATGATGTGATCATGCAAAAACTTTAGTTCTAAATAACATGATAAATGATAAATTTGCCTTTCAGGTGGTTTTTCTTGTAAAAGGGCCAATTTACTTAGTTTGCATAAGCTGTACAGAAGAGCCTTATGAGTCCCTTAGGGGGCAGCTGGAGCTTATTTATGGTCAGGTAGCATCTGTTTCCTTTATTTTGTTACGATTATGTTGTGTCTTTCAGAAGTCTTGGTTGCTTGCCATTTTTTTCCTAATCTTCTTTCCTATAAGGGAAGCCCCATTTGACAGTTGGATGTAGTTTCTCAATCATTAATTTTGACTTGAGTGCAGATGATACTTATCCTTACAAAGTCTGTAAATAGATGTTTCGAGAAGAATCCAAAGTTTGATATGACACCTTTGCTTGGAGGAACAGATGTCGTCTTTTCTTCTCTCATCCATTCATTCAGTTGGTTTGTTTCTCTGCTCACTTTTATACTGCCTACTTTATTTATATTCAAAATATCCATTGAAAGTTTTGAAGAGCCTTTCTCTGATTGTACTTGCTGAATCAATGAAAGTATGATGTTGGACACTTAAACAAATGCAAAGAACAGATTGTGGTTCAATTCTGGGGCTGCAAAGGAAGGCTGTGCTGTTTGCGAGTATTTCAATCTTGTTTGAATAGTAAATGAGCAGAGCTCAAGCTTGGCTTGGAGGTTCAATACATACACAGGATGAGTTTGAGCAAGCCGGAACTTGGCAAGCCAAGTCTTGCAGCAATGGCATTAGTTGTACACATAAAATTGTCACACCTTGTTCTCTTCCATTTGAGTAGACGAGACATAAGCAAATTTGCTGCAGTTTGTCGACTTCTCCTTGTATGACGTTTAATTTGGTCACTGACCTGTACATAATAAAGTTAGTATGAATACTATGATGATGTAATTCATCCGAATAATGAGAAACATTTTGCTCATTGATAATGTAAATGTTCTGTTTTTTCTTTGGTAAGTACTGCTAATAAAAGTGAATTCACACATTTGTTTGAATATGTCCAGAAATTCTTGACATAAAATTTTCTGTTTTTTTTTTTGTAAATGGGGCTAATAAAAGTGAGTTCACACATTTGTTTCAATATGTCCGGAAATTCTTCTTGATGAGTTCAGCCAGCTCCTTATAATGATGGTCAATTTTGTATGAATTAATAGCAAGTTATCAAACTAATATGAAAACAATATAGCAATTGTCTTGTGACAAGTAATTTTCTTCACCTGTTGGATAGTCTAATACTACTCTAATTGAAGATCTCTGATAACTGTGATTTCAGGAATCCAGCCACTTTTCTTCATGCATACACTTGTCTTCCCCTTGCTTATGCAACTAGGCAAGCTGCAGGTGCTGTTTTGCAAGATGTTGCTGATTCAGGTGTCCTATTTGCTCTACTGATGTGCAAACAGAAGGTATTTTCCTATTGTCCATTTCTCTCTGTCTTGTCATTTTTAATTCTCTTAATATGTGAAAAAGTTTTTTCTTTGTTGTCCCCTTTCTTCATGAGAAAAAAAGAAGTTTTGATTTTTTTTTTTATCACTTAGAGAATCCATTTAAGTCTACAATAATTTTCTGGAAAATGGCCCTTACTTTGTGGAGCATCTTCTAAATTGAAGCTGAAATGCAGGTAATCAGTCTTGTAGGAGCACAAAAGGCATCCCTACATCCTGATGATATGCTGCTACTTTCAAACTTTGTTATGTCCTCTGAATCTTTTAGGCAAGTCCCACTAACTTTGGACTTATATTTCATCTTTCCTTCATCAACCAGGTTAAACGTTTTGCAAATGAGACACACACACATATATTGTCTATGTGGGTTTTTGTCTTGCTGGACAAACTTAAAAGCTAAGGAATTAACTCTTTCACCCTTGATAGAGTAGATTCACTATTGAAGTGTGTTTTTAATTTTTAGTGTTATGAACCTATTAGCATCCTTGTCACATTTCTTTTGGTGCTTCTGCCCATACTTCTTTGTGTTAGCAGACAAATTGAGTCCATGAAGTGCATACATATAACAAATCTATGCTGCCAACATTTGCGCTACTATGGTAGTCTGTTATGTTACTTACTCTTCGATATCTAGTATCAAATGCATTCCCAAAATTCCTGTATAATATGACTTCTGAACATAGCTAAAGAGAAAATTAATCAATATTGATAGCATCCTTCTAGTTCTCATTGCCTTTATCATTCGATTCAAAATGTCTGAATAATAATAAGGACAAATTTGGAGTTTCACATGGAACTCACTTTGGGATTTGTCTAACCAAGTCTTGGGGTTAAATTGACTCTATGTTTATGTTAATCTTTAGATTATCAGCAGGTGGTTAATGTATTGAATGTTTTGTTTGGTTGTATAAGTCAGTAGTGAATGATTTGTAATGGATACATAAATGAATAGAAAGATTACATGGATCAAACTTTACAACACCGTGTATTATAACTAAAATCAGTAAAACTAAAATTATGTTTTGAGTTATGTTTCGTGGAGTCCTAGTTATGTTTCTTCTTATCTCTTCTAGTTCTCTTTGTTCTTGTTTACTTCACTGCATTCTTAAGCTCTTAAGATCCACAAACAAGCCTGAATATACATATTTTTATTCTCAACAACAAATACTAGGCCACATTATAACACAATCTAGCCCAAAATTACTGTTCACAGCATTGTTCGTGGTGCCCAGAATGGTCCCAAGGTTNTATACATATTTTTATTCTCAACAACAAATACTAGGCCACAGTATAACACAATTTAGCCCAAAATTACTGTTCACAGCATTGTTCGTGGTGCCCAGAATGGTCCCAAGGTTCTTTTCTTCTGTCGCTTCTTTATTCCTCCAAATCATTACCCACTTATTACATCTTATAAAACCATAAAAGCGCATTGCTCTACCGACCATTTCAGCCATAAGAAAAAGGCCTAATCAGTCCCTTAAAAGCCCTATTCTTCCACTGCTCCACAGTTATTTTGCTCTCATCTCTTTCAGAAGGGATGAGAGCAAAGTAATGCGCTTTTATGGTTTTATAAAATAAAAACCATAAAAAAATAAACACCATTCACCCCGATACAACTGGAAATGATACAATATAAAGGGACATCTTCAAACTCCTTAGTCACCGAAACCTAGTAAGAAGCTAAAAAATAAATCCTCTCACATAATCCTTCCATCACTTCTATTTAATTTTCAAAAATTCTCACATTTCTTTCCATCCAAACAATAGTGAATAAGGCGCAATGCCCTAATGTCTCCCATTTCCCTTCTCCTCCTAGACCTCCAAAATTCACACAAAACATTAATGAAATTGATCCCGGGGCCACCCAACAAAGCCCAACCATATCAAATAATTTATTCCACAATGACAAAGCAATGAGAAAATAAAGGAAGAAATGATTCTTACTTTCACTATTGCGCATACAAGTAACACACTAATATGAGGACAAACAAGTAAAAGGCCTCTGCCTTTGTAACAAATCACGAGTATTAAGCTTACCATGAGCCAATACCCTTGCACATACATGCACTTTCAATGGCATCTTAGCCATCCAAATCTTCATGGAATGAATAAATGAATTGAAGGATTGTCGATCAACGAATCAAAAAAAGACTTACATGAGAATAATCCCTTTGGGTCAATGATCCAACATCTTTTATCCACAACATCATGGTTCAAAGAGAAAGAATCAATCGTTGAGGGAAAAGACGGGAAGTCCAAAAACTCCCTATCATTTAAATTTCTACGAAATCGAAAATCCCAATAAATAGGTATGGAATGGGACCTAATCAGAGACGCAATATTNATCGTTGAGGGAAAAGACGGGAAGTCCAAAAACTCCCTATCATTTAAATTTCTACAAAATCGAAAATCCCAATAAATAGGTATGGAATGGGACCTAATCAGAGACGCAATATTATGACCATGATAACAAGAAAGATGAAACAATCTTAAAAATGGCACATCTATCCAAATATCCTCCCAAAAACGAACTTTCATCTTGTTGTTCATGGTGAGCTTAAGTGGTTAACCTTTTTGAGAGAAGCTTGGTAAACCTTGAGAAATGAATTTTCAAAGATTTCGGTAGTTTTCCCTATCAACCCCCATTAGCATCCCATCCATGATCCTGCAAATTATGCTTGCTTTTAATAACCAAATATCGTAGAGTATAATGCTCCAAAGGAAATCTCCAAAGTCATTTACTGACTAAAGCTACATCTTTGATCTCGTGACCATTTCCCAACTACCCTCACCCTTACATTCCCACAAAAATTTTCTCCATCCTCTCAATCATATCTGTTACCCTACAAGGCATCGTAAAAAGAGACATATAGTAACTAGGGATACTTGCCAACACTAACTGAACAAGAGTTAATCTACCCCCTTTAGAAATAAAAGTTTTCTTCCACCCATTCAACCTTTTCCCAAAAAGAACAGGATAAAGGATTACCACCTCTAACAAAATGCCTAAATACCTAAGAATACCCAAGAGGCCAACCTCTTCCTCCTCCTCTCCCTCCTCCCCCCCCCCCAAAAAAAAAAAAAAAAAA